TCACCATCACTATCTGTGGTTAAATATGTTTCAGTATCACTGCTAATGTCTAAATAAGACATTACAAAATAAAAATTTATATCTATATAAAATAAAATAAAATATAACGTATAATAAATACAATACTATAAAAAAAAAGTTAATAAATTTTCTTAAACTAAAAACAAATAAATAAAAAATTCTTTAGTGTCCACCTGCCAGTTGAGTGTTACGATAAATTATCTGTACAACACTTAAACAATAAATGGAAATAAAAAATTTTTTTTTTTTTTTTTCTGTGTGGGTAGTTGTGAATGCAACACGTAAAATTGTTATCTCTCAAGTTATTATTAAAATTAATACATAATTCGTAAAATATTATATATCAAGTGCTAGTAATGAAAAGTTAGCTTAAACTACCTGTCTGTGAGTGTTTACTACTTAATCCAACCACTATTACAACACTTTTTTTACTTTTATAACCTCTCTCAGTTCGTCACTATACCATGGACTCGACAATTAAAAACACTCTGTCCAGTTTGATGGAGGTGTTTCATAACAGGATGGATGTTTTTGAGGAAGAATTGCGGAAAACGCCCAGCACATCTACCAGTACTACCTCTCTGGCAGCTGAGTTTGCATCTTTCAAGACGTTTGTAGTGCAGGCACTAAACAGTCTTCAGCAGCAGATGGAGTTACTTGCTCGTAATGCTGATAGCATGGAGATGCGAAGCCGAAGGAAAATGTTACTGCTTCATGGTGTTCCAGAGATTGCAAAAGAAAACACCGATTTGGCTGTCATCAAGGTTCTGCAAAATCAGTTGAAATTAGCTAACGTCTCTGTCAGTGATATTAAGCGTTGTCACAGATTGGGTAGACCAACAGCTCCTCACAAGTCTCGACCCATTTTAGTGAAATTCTTAGATGTAGGGTTGCGTGATAAAGTCTGGTACGGAAAATCCCAACTTAAAGGCTCCGGAGTCACAGTATCCGAATTTCTCACCAAGCTTCGGCATGATATTTTTGTAGCTGCCCGTGAAAAATTTGGTATTTCCAAATGCTGGACTAAAGATGGATCTGTGTACGTTGCAAAACCTGATGGAACCAGACATCGTATAACCAGTCTGAATGACATCAGCAAAATTGAGTGCCAGACAAGCCCAAAACCAGTATCGAAAACTGCAGCTGGGAAGCCCAAGCGAAACGCCGCCGTGAAGAAGTGTTAAGTGTACAGGATTTGCCATACCTAAATATTGTCATTTTTTTTTTTCTCTCTTAATGTTATATAATTACAATTAATAGCTTGTGTGACTTATTTCTTTGAGTATTTAGTGTAAGCTTAGTGCAAAACACTCTGATAAATTTGAGGAGGTTTGTGCCTTTAACTTTAACTTGTAACTTTAACTTTAGTGCAATTTTTTTTTTTACCATTGAATGTACATAAAATAAGCATAATAATTATGAACCCCTCTTTCCATTTATTATACGTTTTGGTATACTTAAAAATTGACAATGTGAAATATTGTAAAATGCATAGATGTCATTAGTTTTTGTTCTGAATACTACAGTTAACGTTAACACAAAAATCACAATTTCGAGGTTATGTTGCACTATAACAATAATGCTAAATAACGCACTGACCGTTGCGTTTCCCTTAACGGTGTTTATTTTATGCACCCTTATTGTTTTTTTTTTCTTTCACTTAATCCTACTTTAATAAGAAGTTCATTATTAAACTAATTTTTTATTTCCAAAATATTTATTATTTTCCAAATAATTTAAAAATAAAACACGTTCCCCCACACTAGGATTATCTCCTGTATCGTGGAGGCAGTTTACAAACACAAATTGCACAAGGACAAACATCCAGACCCGGAACAATTATTTGTAGTTCATACAAATATTTGTAGTTCATACAAATATTTGTTCCGTCCGGGATTCGAACCCGCGGCTCCAAGTACTACAAGTTACTGCCAAGCCACTGCGCCACGGAGCCGTCGCCGTATTTTGGGTTTTAAATCCCTGCACTTACATATGTGCTTACGTAAGTGCAGGGATTTAAAACTCAAAATCGTACTGACATACACTTACTATTACTTAAGCGACAAAACATGAGCAGCAATATACCTGAGTTGAATTGCTGCCAAATCCTCAACCCAAAATTTCCGACTGGATAATGGATGTGCCTCGAGCGAATGTTTATTTTTCATAACGGCACTGACTTCGTAGCTTTTAATTAAAAAGAATCATTTTCATTCATTCAATCATTTCTTTTCAGTGTCCATGCTGCTAAACATAGACTTGAGAATAAATTGCACCATAAAAAGAACGCTTGCCATATTTGTTTTGCTTGGCTTGGTTTGGTTTTCTTCTAGATGTTATAAGAAAAATGCTATAACAAATCTCTTACGACAGCCATAGAATAATATGAGGTAGCGAATTTTTTTACACAGACACTAAATGGTTAAAAAATCGGCCAAGTGCGAGTCGGACGCGCGCACCGAGGGTTCCGAACAAATCCGTACGTATATGAGTTTAAAATTATTAAAAATATTTTTATTATATGATGAAACTAAAAATGTATGCTTCTCGCAATATTTCCTTTATCTGTGCTTTAATACGTTGCTTCGTACCAAATTTTAAGATTCTGAGTTCACGGGAAGTACCCTGTAGGTTTTGATTCCCTTGCGAATGTCGAAAATTTGCGGCATAAACGGCTGTATCTTTTGATTGCGTTGGCGTAGAAGTTTGATTTTTTCATAGCTCCAAGGGACAGTAGACTTGAGTATTTGATATAAATTTCAGCTTGATACCTCCACGCGTTCCTGAGAAAAAGGGTCTTGACAGACAGACGGACAACAAAGTTATCCTATAAGGGTTCCGTTTTTTCCTTTTGAGTTACGGAATCCTAAAAGGCGTGCGCACGTGCAGGTACGGGTGCAGTTACCGTGGCGCCGCTGGGCGTGGCGGTGACGTTGACGGGCGGCGCGGCGGGGCGTGATGCGGCGTGCGCACGTGCAGGTGCGGGTACAGTTACCGTTGCGCCACTGGGCGTGGCGGTGACGTTGACGGGCGGCGCGGCGGGGCGTGATGCGGCGTGCGCACGTGCAGGTGCGGGTACAGTTACCGTTGCGCCACTGGGCGTGGCGGTGACGTTGACGGGCGGCGCGGCGGGTGTGTCGTGCGGCGTGCGCACGTGCAGGTGCGGGTACAGTTACCGTTGCGCCACTGGGCGTGGCGGTGACGTTGACGGGCGGCGCGGCGGGGCGTGATGCGGCGTGCGCACGTGCAGGTGCGGGTACAGTTACCGTTGCGCCACTGGGCGTGGCGGTGACGTTGACGGGCGGCGCGGCGGGGCGTGATGCGGCGTGCGCACGTGCAGGTGCGGGTACAGTTACCGTTGCGCCACTGGGCGTGGCGGTGACGTTGACGGGCGGCGCGGCGGGGCGTGATGCGGCGTGCGCACGTGCAGGTGCGGGTACAGTTACCGTTGCGCCACTGGGCGTGGCGGTGACGTTGACGGGCGGCGCGGCGGGTGCGTCGTGCGGCGTGCGCACGTGCAGGTGCGGGTACAGTTACCGTTGCGCCACTGGGCGTGGCGGTGACGTTGACGGGCGGCGCGGCGGGTGCGTCGTGCGGCGTGCGCACGTGCAGGTGCGGGTACAGTTACCGTTGCGCCACTGGGCGTGGCGGTGACGTTGACGGGCGGCGCGGCGGGGCGTGATGCGGCGTGCGCACGTGCAGGTGCGGGTACAGTTACCGTTGCGCCACTGGGCGTGGCGGTGACGTTGACGGGCGGCGCGGCGGGGCGTGATGCGGCGTGCGCACGTGCAGGTGCGGGTACAGTTACCGTTGCGCCACTGGGCGTGGCGGTGACGTTGACGGGCGGCGCGGCGGGGCGTGATGCGGCGTGCGCACGTGCAGGTGCGGGTACAGTTACCGTTGCGCCACTGGGCGTGGCGGTGACGTTGACGGGCGGCGCGGCGGGGCGTGATGCGGCGTGCGCACGTGCAGGTGCGGGTACAGTTACCGTTGCGCCACTGGGCGTGGCGGTGACGTTGACGGGCGGCGCGGCGGGGCGTGATGCGGCGTGCGCACGTGCAGGTGCGGGTACAGTTACCGTTGCGCCACTGGGCGTGGCGGTGACGTTGACGGGCGGCGCGGCGGGTGCGTCGTGCGGCGTGCGCACGTGCAGGTGCGGGTACAGTTACCGTTGCGCCACTGGGCGTGGCGGTGACGTTGACGGGCGGCGCGGCGGGTGCGTCGTGCGGCGTGCGCACGTGCAGGTGCGGGTACAGTTACCGTTGCGCCACTGGGCGTGGCGGTGACGTTGACGGGCGGTGCGGCGGGGCGTGATGCGGCGTGCGCACGTGCAGGTGCGGGTACAGTTACCGTTGCGCCACTGGGCGTGGCGGTGACGTTGACGGGCGGCGCGGCGGGGCGTGATGCGGCGTGCGCACGTGCAGGTGCGGGTACAGTTACCGTTGCGCCACTGGGCGTGGCGGTGACGTTGACGGGCGGCGCGGCGGGGCGTGATGCGGCGTGCGCACGTGCAGGTGCGGGTACAGTTACCGTTGCGCCACTGGGCGTGGCGGTGACGTTGACGGGCGGCGCGGCGGGGCGTGATGCGGCGTGCGCACGTGCAGGTGCGGGTACAGTTACCGTTGCGCCACTGGGCGTGGCGGTGACGTTGACGGGCGGCGCGGCGGGTGCGTCGTGCGGCGTGCGCACGTGCAGGTGCGGGTACAGTTACCGTTGCGCCACTGGGCGTGGCGGTGACGTTGACGGGCGGCGCGGCGGGTGCGTCGTGCGGCGTGCGCACGTGCAGGTGCGGGTACAGTTACCGTTGCGCCACTGGGCGTGGCGGTGACGTTGACGGGCGGCGCGGCGGGGCGTGATGCGGCGTGCGCACGTGCAGGTGCGGGTACAGTTACCGTTGCGCCACTGGGCGTGGCGGTGACGTTGACGGGCGGCGCGGCGGGTGCGTCGTGCGGCGTGCGCACGTGCAGGTGCGGGTACAGTTACCGTTGCGCCACTGGGCGTGGCGGTGACGTTGACGGGCGGCGCGGCGGGTGCGTCGTGCGGCGTGCGCACGTGCAGGTGCGGGTACAGTTACCGTTGCGCCACTGGGCGTGGCGGTGACGTTGACGGGCGGTGCGGCGGGGCGTGATGCGGCGTGCGCACGTGCAGGTGCGGGTACAGTTACCGTTGCGCCACTGGGCGTGGCGGTGACGTTGACGGGCGGCGCGGCGGGGCGTGATGCGGCGTGCGCACGTGCAGGTGCGGGTACAGTTACCGTTGCGCCACTGGGCGTGGCGGTGACGTTGACGGGCGGCGCGGCGGGGCGTGATGCGGCGTGCGCACGTGCAGGTGCGGGTACAGTTACCGTTGCGCCACTGGGCGTGGCGGTGACGTTGACGGGCGGCGCGGCGGGGCGTGATGCGGCGTGCGCACGTGCAGGTGCGGGTACAGTTACCGTGGCGCCGCTGGGCGTGGCGGTGACGTTGACGGGCGGCGCGGCGGGGCGTGATGCGGCGTGCGCACGTGCAGGTGCGGGTACAGTTACCGTTGCGCCACTGGGCGTGGCGGTGACGTTGACGGGCGGCGCGGCGGGGCGTGATGCGGCGTGCGCACGTGCAGGTGCGGGTACAGTTACCGTTGCGCCACTGGGCGTGGCGGTGACGTTGACGGGCGGCGCGGCGGGTGCGTCGTGCGGCGTGCGCACGTGCAGGTGCGGGTACAGTTACCGTTGCGCCACTGGGCGTGGCGGTGACGTTGACGGGCGGCGCGGCGGGGCGTGATGCGGCGTGCGCACGTGCAGGTGCGGGTACAGTTACCGTTGCGCCACTGGGCGTGGCGGTGACGTTGACGGGCGGCGCGGCGGGGCGTGATGCGGCGTGCGCACGTGCAGGTGCGGGTACAGTTACCGTGGCGCCGCTGGGCGTGGCGGTGACGTTGACGGGCGGCGCGGCGGGTGCGTCGTGCGGCGTGCGCACGCGCAGCGCAGGCGCGGGAGCGCCGCCAGCCGCCGCCACACGCACGCGGTACGCGCTCCCCGCCCGCAGCCCACCTACACTAGCGACAACGCCCTCCGCCCACTGGACCTGCTCTCGCCCAGTCTCCTCCTACCAAACAAACAACCAATTACTCCCAATGTCAAAGATGCGAGACGTCTGGTACTACTACACTACTATGTATCAGCAATCCCCCTTTAAAGATGATGTTGAAGTAAAAAAACCAAAGAAAAAGAATTGAAATCAAAATTTTGCTAAAGATTAAGGCATTTTCTTTGACTCATAACTATATTTTAAGCAACACTTTGCTCACTTAAGGCAACAAGGTTTATCAATTTGTTAGTTTTTTTATAAGACCTCAAATTCAAATTCAAATCGTTTATTGCGAATATAGGTTGATACAGTTAGTCTAATACAGGATTATTTTGCAATTACCTGTCAAATTGGCAGATAAGATTCAGAATAAGTAATATAGGCAAATGATGAAGAAAAATTAATAAAAAAAATCTCAAACATTCTGTCACATTTATCTTTTAAATTCAAAATGTGCATTGTATTGCATTATTTTAACTGATTGTCATTCATAAATATCTGACGCGTACTATTATACGCACGCACACATTCGTAAGGGTCGCTCGGTAAGGTACCCTCGTCCAGTGCGCACCCCTTCTATTTACCATTATACCGTTAGGTACCTACGTCCGCTCGCCAAGCCAACAGCTGACAGTATTGACTATGGCCTCATTACGTACGCTTCGTTATCAACGACGTAACGAAAATATTCAAACCAAAATGAAATAGTGCTATATTACATTTTAAGCAATGAAAGTTCACGTGGTGTGCAAAGATACAAAGTGAGTCTTTACTACGGCAAGAAATTAACGTACGTGTCGTAATTAACCTACTAATCGAAAAACAATTGAAGGATAATCAAACTATTCAAGTGCAGTGAGCAGCAACTTAAATAGTGAATATGAAGATAGGTGGATTGCGCACTGAGGCTCTATACTATGGTCTGCAAACTTACCAGAACTTCCATCGTTAGTCGTTTATCTGTGTATAAAGAGTCGTGTTTACGTCAAAGCGGTCCAAAGTTATGAAGACCGCCACCTGTTTCTTTACTTTTACCTTCACGGAAGTTAAAAGTGCTCAAGAACAGGTAATAAGTGTAAAAAATATTTTAAGAAAACGTGCTCGTCTATGTCCGTTGACCCGTGACCGTTCGTGAATCTGCGGGAGCCCTCGGCTGCGCGAGGGCAATCAGTTTGGTTTTTCTCGCTTCGATAGTCGATTCGATCGCCCGATGCCGTCAGGCCGCTCGTTCGCGCTCCGATACGATACTTCGAATTTATGTTATGAACGTACGTTATTTATTATCTGGTGTGTTCGTTATTCACATCCCCACAAGAGAAACGGATTCCATTTTGAGGTATTACGCACGTAGTCCCAATATTAGATATTGGGACTACGTGCGTACTTTCGTTGTAAATAGTATAACAACGTAAGGGAGTCAATATATCATAATGATATCATCCCGAAGAAGTCGCAAATCTTGACTATGTATAATACAAAAAAAAATTCTAAAAGAAAGTCACCAAGTATATAATATTAATACTAAGAATGACGACGGGGAACCTATTAAAGTTATAAAATCGTCTGGTAACTTCTAACTATGACTCCTCCGTCTTATTTGACTGGTAGATAAAGTATCCTATCTAATTTCAAGTATCTGCTACTACTAAGCTGGCAGGCGAACCACAGTACAAGAAGTTGAAAACTTTAGACGTTGCGATTCCTTGACATAGCTGATCATTCTACAAGCTAAGCTAATGCTTTGGTTAATCACCATTTATCGTCAGGTAGGATACTAGTCAAGCACTGATTACAGGCAAACATATAAAATAATTTAATTAGAAAACAACTGTAAGGTCTTTAAATATAAAAATTAATTTTTGAAAGGTTTGAAAAAAAATACACACGTACTTTAAATGTCTATGCCTAAGCTAGTCAGTTTAAAAAGAAAAAAATTGTACAATTTAAAATTGATAAAATCTACAAATATTCGGGTGAAGTTCCCGCTTAGTAACAATTTGGGTCCTTGTTTATTAATGATATATGAAAACGTTTTAAGTAGGTACCAAATTTTATAATAAGTATTTCAATAAAAATAAACCTAAAATGTCTCTAAATCAAGTAATTTATAACAGTTATATTATTAGAGTTATAATAATTATAAATTTATAATAAGCATTCTTACGTCAGTATAATACACGGCATATCTGGTTGGTGGCGCTGTGGAGGCCAGGCCATTTTGAGTTTGTGTCGGTGGCGACCACCAAACGCGTATACTGTGAGGACCTAGAGCTTCCACTCGTACGTCTTGAGGTGGTCCATACGTAAGTTCCTCCTCAGCCGTCGTGGCTTCTATTATCTGGAAAGAAAATTAACATGTCACAAAAGTGGATCTATCATAAATATAGGTATCAGTATTTGAGTTGAGGGGTACCCGTAACAACAACTACGTAATGTACTGTTGTCTAAAAAGTGAACGAGGGAATGTATGAATGTCATTTTAATGTTTCATTGATTCATTATAGCTCATCAAAAGTCTTTTTTTGCTGACGGTATGAAAAAGAACACTTTATTTGAAATTTCAACGTTGTGTGCATGGCGTCAGAGGAAACAGAGGAAAACAAATCAATCAGGAGATGGGCAGGAGCGTCTTTCTAATAACGACTAAAAATAAAAAAAACTACGGTCGCTAACCCGCTTGCCAAGCGTAGCAACTGTGGCAATGAGGCAATCCATGAGGGAGCTATGTTTAGCAGTGGACTTTAATAAGCTGTAAGTAGTCTAGTACTACGTAATAAAATAACATATTCGTTGTAATGCGGCCCAAATAAGCGTCATATTGTTTTTTAAGAACGTCGTATTGATGTTATTACTGTTATTCTATTCTATGACACTTCGAAAATGATAGAGAATCTCTCGACAATTCGTATTTCAAAATCCTTCTAACTTTTATGGTACAGACTACAGGAGATCACAAAGGAACAGATAAAAAATACAAAATTTCATCAGTTAAGATATGTTTGTAACACATAAACACGACTAACATTACTTTTCTTCTGGGGCTGGCAAGCGGCGTAGCAATTATGGCAAATATCCTCCTATGAGGCAATCTATGTCGGAACCCTATGTTCAGCAAAGGACTTTTGATAGGCTTAAAGTACAAAGATTGTGCAAGCATTTTAATTAGGATATGCCTAGACGCATCAGTAGTTATGGTCTCAAATACTGTTTCAGCCAGAGAGTAAAAGAGTTTAATTATACCTCAGTGGCTGGCGAGTGCGAATGCTGTGTGAATGCGATCACCGAGAACTGGTAGGTGGTGTTGGGCTGCAGGGAGGCGACGTTCATCTCGTGCCGCTGAGGGTTGCCGCGGGCGATCCGTTCACTGCAACCGTTAATGAATTCGTAATTTATATCTACTCTCAGTTACGATCACGGGAATATTACACATTGTACAAAACTACTTTTTGGGAATTTACATTGAGCTAAAGGTAGCGTAATTTATATCTACTCTCAGTTATGAATACGGGAATATTACACGTTGTACAAAACTACTTTTTTGGAATTTACATTGAGCTGAAGGTAGCGTAATTTATAATTACTCTCAGTTATGATTACAGGAATATTACACGTTGTACAAAACTACTTTTTGGGAATTTACATTGAGCTGAAGGTAGCGTAATTTATAATTACTCTCAGTTATGATTACAGGAATATTACACGTTGTACAAAACTACTTTTTGGGAATTTACATTAAGCTGAAGGTAGCGTAATTTATAATTACTCTCAGTTATGATTACAGGAATATTACACGTTGTACAAAACTACTTTTTTGGAATTTACATTGAGCTGAAGGTAGCGTAATTTATATTTACTCTCAGTTATGATTACAGGAATATTACACGTTGTACAAAACTACTTTTTGGGAATTTACATTAAGCTGAAGGTAGCGTAATTTATAATTACTCTCAGTTATGATTACAGGAATATTACACGTTGTACAAAACTACTTTTTGGGAATTTACATTAAGCTGAAGGTAGCGTAATTTATAATTACTCTCAGTTATGATTACAGGAATATTACACGTTGTACAAAACTACTTTTTGGGAATTTACATTGAGCTGAAGGTAGCGTAATTTATAATTACTCTCAGTTATGATTACAGGAATATTACACGTTGTACAAAACTACTTTTTGGGAATTTACATTAAGCTGAAGGTAGCGTAATTTATAATTACTCTCAGTTATGATTACAGGAATATTACACGTTGTACAAAACTACTTTTTTGGAATTTACATTGAGCTGAAGGTAGCGTAATTTATATTTACTCTCAGTTACGATTACGGGAATATTACACGTTGTACAAAATTACTTTTTTGGAATTTACATTAAGCTAAAGGTAGCGTAATTTATATCTACTCTCAGTTATGATCACGGAAATATTACACATTGTACAAAACTACTTTATTGGAATTTACATTGAGCTGAAGGTAGCGTAATTTATATCTACTCTCAGTTATGATTACGGGAATATTACACGCTGTACAAAACTACTTTTTGAAATTTACATTTTTACTTATTTTTAAACAAAAAAAAAGACATTGAGCCGAAGGTAGCGTAAAATATGTCTACTCTCAGTTCGGGTATCTTTATGATTACTGGAATATTACGAGTACACGTAACAGAAAACTAATTTTATGGGATTTACATGGAGCTAAAAGTAACGTAATGTATGTATATCTATTCTAAATTATGATTTCCTTATCATTACGGGAATATTACACGCAGTATAAAATTAATTTTATGGATTTTCATTGACCTGAAGGCAAGCCGAGGGAAGAAATGTAACATTTGGCAAAACTTTGTAAAAGCATTGTAGTATTCGTGTATTGTCGGCGAAAGAATATCCAGAACCTCATACCATAAGACAAAGAGAAATGAAACGCGCTAATAAAACAAGGTAATCTATAGACCTTATATGGTATGATAGGCCTTTGTATAGCAATCGACTTTAATAGCTTATAATGATAATAATAACATATTGAAGTGGGTTGTGAAAGGCTGTTAAATTAAATAGAGAAGAATATTATTGCTTCTTATCCCTAATAAGAATTGAGTGAAATAAAAAAAAATACTCACCGTTCGCTTCCCTTTACTTTGTAGACAACCGCATAGCCTGTTATATCTTCAGCCTTATGCTCCGGTTCCTCCCAGCTGAGCGTTACAAATCTGTGCTTCACGATAACCGCCTTTAAACCCTTTGGCGCAGAGACCACACTTGCGTTCCCTTGCCCAAGTTCATCCAGATCCAAGCCTTCGGCAGCGTGAAACGAATTATCACCATCAGAGTCGTACGCATCGTCATACTCCACATCCGGGATTGATGTGTAGGCCGATGAAGTCTCGCCAAGGAAATCTAGGTCTTCTGGTGTTGGATCTAAGATTGGATCTGGACTGCCGGAGGAAACAAGGCTATTGAAGATGTCATGAGTGGCGTTAGAAAAAGGTACTTTAGGCGGGGGTAGATTAGTTTTTTGGGATGTTCGAGACTTGTTGCTATCTGTGAAGTTGGTAAAAAGCAAAAACAATAGCTAAATATTCTAAGAAATAAAAGGAACATAAACTAAAATAAAGGATAATAAAATAAAACAAAAAATAACTTAATTAAATAATAAAAATATATCGTAATAATATTATAATTATGCTGGAAGGAAGTCAATGGGTGCAGGTGGTTTAGGATTGTGTTTTGTGCTTGGTTTCGGGAAAGGTTTAAGTTTAGCAGCAGACCTGAGATGAGCTTTAATAATGGTATTTATTGAAGCAAAAGTTTCGTTTTAACACATATTACATTAAGCAAATACTACACATTCAATAAAACTAATTATACGGATTTCATTTCACTTTTTAGCTTATTTGGAAATCCCCATGTCCCAAAAATATTAAATTATTACTATTGCCAATTCTTTTTTAATGTTGGCACCATCACTCGCCCTCTCCGCTTGTCATCTTCAACTTTGAAACGTATGGTATTATATTTTAATTTGTTGTTAACCATTCAATACTTGAATTTTCCATTAAATACTTATCCCGTAGATAAATTGCTACCGAAACCCGGGAATTTATGTATTATTTCAAGTAAGTCCACATGTATACAAGCCTATTTTTCAAAGAGTAGCCAAATTTTAAACTTAAGTTCAAATATATAAATAATGATATGCTGTTCTGTGGCTTCTACTGTTATTTGAAATTATCTCAAATTGAATGTGATTTATGGGCAACAACTACGCGTAGTCGCTTTCCTGTGTTTGTCGACCGATTGACCCTTACGAATGTGTGCGTGCGTAGTAAAATAGTAGGCGTTAGATATTTATGAATGACAGTCAGTTAAAATAATGCATTTTGAATTTAAAAGATAAAAAGGACAGAATTCTTGAGATTTTTTAAAATTAATTTTTCTTCACCATTTGCCTATGTTACTTATTCTGAACCTTCTATGCAAATTTGGCCGGTTATTGCAAAATAACCCTATTTATTAATATATTATTAGTATTTACTTAATAACAACTGTCCAAGTTCTCCAGTAAAGTTTGAAAGTAATTGGCTGAGTAGTTAATTATCTTCACGCTTCGAAACTTTAGCTGCTGGGTTGCAATGAAACGGATGACATATCTCAACATCAAGTCACGTGACTTAACGTTCATTTTATTCATTTTCATAGTTTTCTTTTAGCTTTAAAGATTATAGAAATCAACTTGGTTTACCTAGTTGAGGTAATCAGTGTAATGTGGGAAAAAAAAATGTAAGATTGTAGTCTTTTATCATATTCACATTTAAGTTTCATTTTCGTCATATCCAGTTGTTACGGCCTACGGCTGCTCCCTTAAAGGATCAGATCCTCAGGGGCCCATGAGCTGAAGACTTCCCGAGCAGACGTAGGTCGAGCCTCAATGTGGCCACGTGGAACCTCTCTAATTACGCTAAAATATATGGGGGAGCGTTATACTACGGCCAGTCGACCGGAAGGAATTTGGACGAAGCTTACTTACCTCTATCCAAGGCGACTGGTCCCTCCGGAGTTGGTCAGGTCGCATGTGGTTGTGTAGTGCAAGGGAAAGAATGGTGATGTGGTGTGTATCTGGGTGTGACTGATGGTGATTGAACCTAGACCTTAGCCGTCGGCAGCAGCCCGGGCGTCGACACCGCTCCAACTTGAGGGGGCCCTCCGAGGCTTTGTCCACATTCACTTTCCTTGTTCGTCACGATAACAGTCACTTAACTCTATGGTACGATTAACTAACTTACAGAAGCCACTAACTATCGCTGGGTATAAGGTTACCGCACAAAACACGCACGGAGTTTCTGGGTCAAAGGTCACTACCGTTTCGCGTTGCAACAGTTAGTTCTAGAATATCAGAGGCCGCACTAACTTATATTGTCGAATGCACTTATACAGATTCTGAGTCGGACCCAATAAGTCCCGGGAAAGGCTATCCAAACAGGGAATGCGCGTTATAAATCCTAGACGGGATATTTACTAGACGCCCTAACTATTCCGCGGTTCCCGCACAAGAATGACAGCGTGCTGTTCCAAGCACACCTGGCAGACGACTGACTTTTCACTCGCGACCCACGCGCCACTGCCACGCTCGGAAGAACTTCAGACCAGTATCGCCCAGAGCCGCGCGCTCGCTAGACGTCGATTCCGACAACAGCGTTTTGCGCGAACAAACCCCCGTCCCGGACATAAGGATTTAGGTCCGCGAGCAAACCGGTCAGCGGGACAAGGTCGAGACTGCAAGTTGCAAGACTGAATCTACAACCAAACTAGGCCACCTTAGACAACCCATCAGATCTTGCAACCCTAACGAACGCCTCAAAAGATAGCCCTAATGTGGCAAGCCGGAGGGTCAGCCTCCACTGGATGCCCCTCCTGGGCATCGCAGCACTTTAATAAATCCTGTACTGGACAGAAGTCCGACGACCTCTTTCAAACACCTATCTGTGCCCCTATGATTAGTTCCGCAATCCGACCGGATCAGCTCTGCAAACAGCGACGCTACACGAAGCTGCCCAGACAAATTTTGTGCCAGCAGTTGTTTCAGTGCAGAGCGCACCCACAAATTCCACATGAACGTCGTCTGTGGAGAGCCAAACGAAACGCACAGATAGTCCCTAGTATGAATTTTCAACAAGTAGGCCTAGCCAGGCCACCCACCATATTATCATTTACTAAAATAGTGCGGCACCTGATTTCAATCTGATAATCTCCAAAACTAGCTAGCCTGTTAGGCAAGTAGTCCTATGCTCATATTTCAACTAATTTTTCAAAAGCATCAATGTTCAACTACAGAATTAATTCAACCAAATTAATCACCGATGCACATAGGTCAACTTGCAAATTAAACAAAACAATAACGTAAGGGACAGCCCTACTTCTTCGCAAAGCAAAATGATTAAACACGATCTATGTATATGTTACATAATTTTTCAAATAGCGCGCCATTCAATTTCCTTTCAGCAAACAGACGCAACAATCAAATACAGTGATTAAATATATGTACAAAACACATGCAGTAGCATTTAAAGGAGTAGATTAAATTCAATTCTTTTAATTTAAACCGCTACAAATAGGAAAATTTCGCGGATAGCCCAAAGCAATTTTTAATTTTAATTCAAGTATTTTTTGACTAAGTGCTCGACCAAACCAAATCTAATACCCCTTGACAGCGTGATTTAACGCTCCAGAGGGGCCCTAATCTTCCCACCACCAAGGGGAGGCTACATGGCGTGAACCCGAGATCGCTAACAGTCGCCACTCGGGTTGTACGCCTTCACTGAGGCCGTCGGCAACAGAACATTTTGACAAGTGGACTGTTGACGGCTTAAGGCTCAGTGGAGGTGGCCATGGTGGGAGCTAAGGCGGCAGCTAGCCAGGGCCGCCTCCATCAAATGGGGAACAGTGGTACACCAGTCGCGGCCACTCAGCTAACGGGAGTGAGAAGGGTCCAGCGGACCAATGAGTGGCCGTGTAGTTCTTCTCCACACGCTTAGAGGGGGTGATGACACCCCCGCCCCTGGGGGAATTACCCCCCGACTGGTCGGGGGAGGGACCCCTTTCAAACTTGGGGGCCTGATGGCTGGCGGGCGGGCGCGGAGGTCGCCCGGCAGAGGGCGTGGCTGAGCGCCCCCGCCCGTGGGGTTCGAGGGCCTGGCAGAGCCCCGAGAGGAGACGCCGTTCGCACTCAGGCACAAAACGGCATGATGATTGCCTTGGCAATGCAGACAGGGCCGCCGATGCGGACAGTCTCGCTGGAGGTGTCCTCCCAAACATGAGCAGCACCAGCGGCGCTCCTTGGCGATAGTTCGCCTCGCTGGAACCGGCTTACCTAATAATTTCGGGCACGACGTTACCCGATGATCAGATGCTCGACAATAGGAGCAGGGGGGGGTTGACGACGACTTGCCTGGAGGATTCAGCCTCTCACTGGGCACGGCTCGTAAGTCGTCAACGGTGCCCGCCGCGCTCTCTATCTGCCGGCACTGCTCCTCCAAAAACCGCAGCAGGTCATAGAAGGGCAGAATATAGGAGGCCTCATCCCTCTCCTCAAAATGGATTCGAAGGTCGAGAGGTAGACGGGACAGCACGATGCGGAGCAACAAAAAAGCCCATTCGCCCACTGGTAAACCCAGCCGCCTCAACGTATTACAGGCCACCAAGACTGGATCCAACAGGTCCGGACGTAGTCTGGCTCGGTCACTAAGCAGCGGGAGGCTTAGAAGCTGCTTAACCTGTTCGTCCGCAATTCGCCGGACGTTGGCGTATCTTCTGGCTAGGAGGTCCCGAGCAGTCTGGTAGGCGTCGTCCGACAATCTCAAGTGGCCGACGACGCCCAGGGCCTCCCCCTCCAGTGATGCCAGGAGGTACGCCATCTTTTGGCTCGGGGTCAAGTCACTCCGGGCGTCCACTAGGCTGTCGAAAAGACCAACGAAGGTCAGCCATTCGGAAAGGACCCCGGAGAACTTTGGCAGGTCCAGAGTTGGGAGTCGTCCCAACAGCTCCGGCTGAAGCTGCTTCAGAGAGGACTCGGACAGGTCACTCATCCGAGCTTCACGCGCCTCCTCGGCATACCTGCCTTCAGCCTCAATCAACTCGTCCGTGAGCCACAAGAACTGCTCATAGTCCGCGAAGCAGGAGTCCAGGACTCCCTTCTCCACATCCGAATCCTCGAGCTCAGCGTAAGCCTCCTCCACTACGGCCCTTCGAGCATCCACCTGCTCGAACCGCTTCATCAAGTTATGGACCCTATCCGGTCAACCTATCAAAGCATGGGCGCTTGTGGCCCAGCGTAGCTCAGTCCGCAGATCAGTAGCTTGGGCGATGTCATCAGTATTAAATACAAATTACGACGCGGCTTGAGCACAGATTACAAAGATAACAAACAAAAAATACAACAAAAATTAACAGTTAATAAATGCAGTTCCTATCAAATCGCGTTGAATAGAAATTACACAAATACGAATTACTACGTATCAACCAAATACAAGTTAGCACAAAATAAAGACACAAATCAAATTGACAAATAACAAATACTAGTGCGATCAAATCAAGTTAAATTCAAATTGCGCAAATACAATTACTACTCTTTAGTTCAAATACAAATTACAGTATAAACGAAGATACACATCACGGTCGATCAACAAAAAATGCCTAGCTCGGAAATCGAACCTTCGATAAGTAATCCACTACAACTATCCGACAACGATAATTAACCGATTACGTAAAAATAACCATCTACCTACATGACGTATATCTCTAGAAAAACTCCCAATTGCGCAACCTAGGGCGCGGCTTTTCAAACTACCTACTAACCAAAAAAAAAGGCAAGCAACAAACGACAAAGGGAAATAATTCTATTATTACGTACAAAAAAATATTTTTACGTATTACGGACGGGCGTGATTGTAGATACAAATTAAACCAATCAAACCAACGCTCCCTGCCACCAGAATTGTTTCATCATTCATCATTACAGCCCTTCACAAGTCCACTGCTGAACATAGGCCTCCCCCAAAGAATGCCACAAAACACGGTCCTGAGCCACCTGCATCCATCGACTTCCTGCATGTCTTACCAGGTCGTCACTCCATCTCGTGGGGGGACGCCCTACACTGCGCCTACCGGTACGAGGCTGCCACTCGAGAACCTTTCTTCCCCATCGGTTGTCGGTTCTTCGAGCTATATGGCCGGCCCACTGCCACTTCAGCTTACTAATCCGTTGGGCTATGTCGGTCACTCTGGTTCTACTGCGGATATCCTCATTCCTAAGTTTATCACGCAGAGAAACTCCGAGCATAGCCCTCTCCATAGCTCGCTGAGCGACCTTGAGCTTCCTCATACGGCCAGCAGTGAAGGACCACGTCTCAGTTCCGTAAGTCATCACTGGCAACACGCACTGGTTGTACAATTTCGTTTTAAGGTTTTGAGGTATGTCTGACGAGAAGATGTGTCGTAGCTTCCCGAACGCTGCCCAGCCGAGTTGAATCCGTCGATTGACCTCTCGGTCGAAGTTGGACTTACCCAGTCGGACTATTTGTCCCAGGTAAACATACTCGTCAACAACTTCGAGCTTAGTGTTCCCAACAACTACCGGCATAGGTGTGACATGGACATTAAACATGATCTTAGTTTTGTCCATGTTCATCTTAAGACCTATCCGTTGGGAAACACTATTGAGGTCATTGAGCATAGTGCTTAGGTCCTCCAGCGATTCTGCCATAAGGACTATATCGTCGGCAAATCGAAGGTGAGTGATGTACTCGCCATTGATGTTGATACCGTATCCTTTCCAGTCCAGAAGCTTGAAAACGTCTTCCAATGCAGCGGTGAAGAGTTTCGGGGATATGACGTCACCCTGTCTTACACCTCTCTGCAATTGGATAGGTTTCGTACTCTGGTTCTGTACTCGGATAGCCATCGTAGCCCTACTGTACAAGCACTTCAACACTTCGATATACCGACAGTCAACTTGGCACCGCTGAAGGGACTGCAGCACCGCCCAAATTTCGACGGAATCAAAGGCTTTCTCATAGTCCACATACGCCAGACATAGTGGCAAATTGTACTCTTCGGACTTCTGTACAACTTGCCGAAGGGTATGTATGTGGTCTATGGTGCTAAAGCCCTTTCGGAAACTGGCTTGTTCGGGAGGCTGGAAGTCGTCAAGTCTGCGCGCGAGACGATTCGTAATGACTCTCGAAAACAGCACGTAGACGCGGCTCAGAAGGGAAATCGGTCTGTAGTTCTTCAAGAGAGCGTTGTCACCTTTCTTGAAGAACAAGACCACCGCACTTCTGCTCCACGCCTCCGGTGTAATGCCACCATGGAGGACGGAATTAAAGAGCTTCTGAAGGACTTCAAGTACCGGTCTTCCACCCGCTTTCAGAAGCTCCGCTGTAATTCCATCCTCGCCTGGGGCCTTACCGTTTTTAAGGTGCTGGAGAGCCATCCTAATCTCGCTCAGACTGACATCCGGGATATCTTCGGAATAGTGTCGGATGAGACTCGCTCTTGGATCGTTACTCACACTTGCGTGTGGCTCCAACGATGATGTGTACAGCTGCCCATAGAACCTCTCAATCTCACTCAAAATCTCAGGTGTCCCGGAAACGATGCTGCCACACTCTGTCTTCAGCTTTGACAGTTGGCTCTTTCTGGCAGACAGATCTCTGGCAAAGACTTTGGAGCCTTGGTTCCGCTCGATCGCTTCTTCAATACGAGCTGTATTGAAGTTGCGTAAGTCCCGCCGCGTGCATTTGGAGATCTGTCTGTTCAGATGCCTGTATGCTGTCAAGTCTGTTGAAGAATGTAGCTTCATCTCCCGTCTAACAGCCATGAGATTAAGAGTGTGATCGGAGAGTTTTTGTGTTCTTCTGCGGCGGATCTTGCAGAACTTAGCTCCAACCGCATGGACAGTTTCCACGAGCTTGTCATTCATATCGTCCACTTCATTGCAGTCTTCCAGGCACTGAAAACGGTTTTGTAACTCGAGCTGAAAGGTTTCGGGACTTTGGAACAGAGCACGAGGGGGACGGAGCGTTGACTTCATTAGACGAGACCTCTCCAACTTAACGTTTAGGTTCAGTGTGCCTCTAACCATTCGGTGATCGCTACCAGTTTTCACCCTCGCGATCACGGAGACATCACTGAACAGTTGTCGTCTGGTCGTCATAATGAAGTCAATCTCATTTTTTGTGGAACCGTCGGGGCTCGACCAGGTCCACTTCCTGTGGGGCCGCTTCTGGAAGAAAGAGTTCATCATAAAGAGTCCCTCTTTCTCCATGAAGTCGGCCAGCTGCTGGCCCCTTGGGTTCCGTTGCCCTATTCCAAATTTCCCTACTTTCAGCTCACCGTTCTCTCTTGTGCCTAGTTTTGCATTGAAGTCTCCCATTAACACCGTATATTGGGTTTTGGAGGAATGCATGGCTCTAGAGATATCCTCATACATTTCCTCCACCTCCTCATCGGGGTGTGCCGAGGTTGGTGCGTAAACCTGTATGACCTTCAGCGAATACCGTTTGGTGATTCTGAGTATAAGGTACGCAACCCTCGTCGACACACTCCCGATTTTTACAACGTTGTTAACGAAAGACTTGTGGACGATAAATCCGACACCTCCTTGGGACAGATGGTCGCCCTCCCGGTGATAGAGCAAGTTGCCGGATTCGAGGATTACCGTGTCCTCCCCCTCTCTTCGGACTTCGGATAATCCTATAATATGCCAGCGCAACTTGTCTATCTCTTCTTCCAGCTCCACGATCTTCTCGTCAGTCCTCAGGGTGCGTGCGTTGTACGTTGCCAGGTCGAGTCGTCTAAGGTGGCAACCGAACCTCCACCGGAGATTCTTAGCACCCCCTGCCCCGCCGTTACCATGGTCGCCACCGTAGCCAGGAATAGCGGGGCCGCCGGGGACTGGGGGCCGTTTTTTTGTTGCTCTCATCATTGGGGGTATTTGCCATAGTTGCCACGCTTGGCGAGCGGGTTGGCAACCGCAGTTTTTTTATTGTAATTTGGCTATTATCAGGAAGATGCTGCTGCCCATCTCCTGGCTGTTTCCCTTTGTCGCCTTTTACGACACCCACGGGAGGATATGGGGTAGTGGATATTCTTGACCGCCACTACACGGCAAATGTTTGATAAACATTAAACAGAATTGTTTAATGTTTATCAAACACTATGGTCGGGATCGACCGGGAATCGAACCCGGAACCACGCTCTGCTACCAGTTTGTAACGGCCTACGGCTGCTCCCTTAAAGGATCCGATCCTCAGGGGCCCATGAGCTGAAGACTTCCCGAGCAGACGTAGGTCGAGCCTCAATGTGGCCACGTGGAATCTCTCTAATTACGCTAAAATATATGGGGGAGCGTTATACTACGGCCAGTCGACCGGAAGGAATTTGGACGAAGCTTACTTACCTCTATCCAAGGCGACTGGTCCCTACGGAGTCGGTCAGGTCGCATGTGGTTGTGTAGTGCAAGGGAAAGAATGGTGATGTGGTGTGTATCTGGGTGTGACTGATGGTGATTGAACCTAGACCTTAGCCGTCGGCAGCAGCCCGGGCGTCGACACCGCTCCAACTTGAGGGGGCCCTCCGAGGCTTTGTCCACATTCACTTTCCTTGTTCGTCACGATAACAGTCACTTAACTCTATGGTACGATTAATTAACTTACAGAAGCCACTAACTATCGCTGGGTATAAGGTTACCGCACAAAACACGCACGGAGTTTCTGGGTCAAAGGTCACTACCGTTTCGCGTTGCAACAGTTAGTTCTAGAATATCAGAGGCCGCACTAACTTATATTGTCGAATGCACTTATACAGATTCTGAGTCGGACCCAATAAGTCCCGGGAAAGGCTATTCAAACAGGGAATGCGCGTTATAAATCCTAGACGGGATATTTACTAGACGCCCTAACTATTCCGCGGTTCCCGCACAAGAATGACAGCGTGCTGTTCCAAGCACACCTGGCAGACGACTGACTTTTCACTCGCGACCCGCGCGCCACTGCACGCTCGGAAGAACTTCAAACCGGTATCGCCCAGAGCCGCGCGCCCCCTAGACGTCGATTCCGACAACAGCGTTTTGCGCGAACACCAGTATAATAGTGTTTAATCCATTAAATAATATTTTTTTATTATATTTGTATGTTTTCTCTATAATATTTATATTTTACTTCTCTGCTTTTATGTAGGCTCGGCGTGACGGTGCGTGTGTATTGTCGAAGTGCATCGCTTGGCAGGGTCGCCATGTAATATTGGAAAGGAGTTTAAGAGGGCGTGTTGATCTCTCTAGGATTTTAATCAGATTACTCTCTTATTTTAAACTTAACAGCAATATATATTGTCGTGGGGTTACACTACAACAGGGTATACTTACCGTTCCCTGGCGCTAGAACTACGAGTCGGAGTGCAGCAACCGCGCTGCCAGCGATGGAGTTGGCCGCACATTGGAACATGCCCGCATCTACTCGCAGCACGCCTTGGATTCGAAGAGACGTTCTAGACGGGAAGATAAACATTTAATAAATTTCAAAAGTGGTAGAGCCACGCTATGTTATGGTTGTAGCATGAATGGGTTTGCTCGACAAGGGTAGGATCACGCTCTCAAAGAATACCAGCGTCAAGTAGCAGTTTAATGCCGCTGTGTTTCGTATGGTGAGTGTAGAAAACCGGAGACCCTTTTTTACTTAAAACGAGGAATTCCATCTTAGTACTTTATGTGGTAGAGCCATGCTGCAGCTATATTAGTAGTAGGTATACTTTCGTAATCGAGGATAGATGTGGATGTCTATGGGTCACAGCAACCACTTATCATCAGGTGGACTGTGTGCTCGTTTGTCACCCGATCCTATAAACAAAAATAGTACACATGGGTGAAGATTTCAAAACGTCAAAACCTCAAACAAACAAAATCTCCAAAAAACTTCGCAATATGATAAAATACGTAAAAATAAATACGTAATTATTGTAATTATTGGCTGTCTTTGTCAGACAGTAAACGAGACAGTATTCTAGCAGAGCGTGGTCCTTCCTCGATCGAGTCGACCGATTAGTGCTACAACCATAATATAGCTCCAGCGTGGCTTCACCACCTAGCTAAACTTTCATTCCCTGTTCAGAAAGAACATGTGAAAAGAAGTGTTGAGTTGAAACAAAAGTACAGTACCCGTCGAGCAGTGCGATGTCGCGGCTGTTGGGGGAGAGCGGCTCGCCGTCCTTGAGCCAGGCGACGGCGGGCGGCGGGCGGCCGCGCGCCTCGCAGCGCAGCGTCACGTCGCCGCGCGCCTGCGCCGTGGCCAGCGCGCCGCCGGGCAGTGTCACCCGAGGCGCCGTCTGAACGTTCATTCATGCATACGTTACAATCCCAACACTTTTATGTGTATTATTAGACAGGCACTACTATTTTAATATAATATTGTGCACTAAGTTACGGGAATTTTTCCGTAACTCCTTTAGTCGAGTGTGGGCGGACGAGAAAACCAGATGTTTGCTTTGTACAACCGCGAACGAATTTGTTTTCGATAATCTAACATTGATTTTGTTTAATGTGATTAAGAAATCGGTGTTTGTTAACGTGATTTGAAGTTTACTTTCAGACTAGTGATCTACCCCGGCTTTGCGCGAACGACTTCTGGATCTCGACAACGGCACCACTTACCGGATTCATTTGTTAATCGTTTAGATAATCCAGAGACCCACATAAACACACAGAAAAATTTTATCAAAATCGGTGCAGCCCTTTTCGAGTTTTTGCGAGACTAACGGATTGCAATTGATTTTTATGTTTATTTTTATTTCACATTTCGAATTGCCTAAAAACACTAACATACAACTGCCATCTTGCGTAGCATATTTACATATACGGTACACAGCTGTTAATCACACGCGCCCACACCTGCACGACCAACAGCTGTGACACAGTTTTTATTCTGAATTGCCGATCTAGTAGTATACATAGAAATCTTTGTTAGTTGTGTAATCTTTGTAAAATCGGCCACAGTGTGCTGAGTGAGATTGCCGACAGTGGGGACTGTCCACTGATTAGACACATGATCGCCAGGACTATGTCCTGCTTAATAATAAAGTATTAAGTACAAATTATATTACTAACATAGATGTAAGTTTTTTCTCTACTAACAAATTCTATGGATCTTGTTGTCCGAAATAAACAATTTTTATTTTATTTATTTGTTACAGCCATCGATCACTAATAAAAAACTAGATACACAATCAGTGACAAAAATGTCCTTACTGAATCAGCGCCCACTCGAACATTTGGATGTGCTTTAGATTTGTACGTAGCTTTGTGAATACAACTTTAGGTAATGCACTTAAGGTTGAATTTACATTAATGTATATTTATTTCAACTAGAATTACGTCAAAACAATTGGCAACTTTAAGAGAACTGTTGCGGTCCAGTGCATAACCTAATTATTTGCTACAGATACCACGACTGGCACACGGATTAATAACCGCAGTTTTTTGTTTTCTAGTTGTTGTAAGAAAGACTGTTGTCCATCTCGACATCCACGAGATGGTATAAGGTAGTCTATATTCTTAGACCGCCAATATACGACTGTGTGGAATATCGATCATATTTATTGTAGAAATAAGGGTGACAATCCAATATACAGTTCTTCTGCAATAAGTGTTTGCTATGGTCTATACACACTTATATCGATTAAGAAGATATTCAAGCGGTGTTATGCCAATAAAAATGTATTGCTCTGTTTTTCTGCCATAGCCACTTACCAGCTGGGTTGCCAGTTATTTAAAAAAAAACGTTAACCTCACACTAGGATGTTTTCCTGTATCCTGGAGGCAGTTTACATTCATGAATTTAAATTTTTCCGTGCAGGCGTCGAACCCGCACTTGCAGCTGCGTGGAGTGGTCGGCGGAGTCCAGGCAAATGTGCGCGCGGCAAGTGTACACGCCGGCGTCCAGCTTTACAAAGTAAGCGTACGAGCACTTGCAGCTGCGTGGAGTGGTCGGCGGATTCCAGGCGGTTGTGCGCGCGGCACGTGTACACGCCGGCGTCCGGCTTTACAAAGTAAACGTACCAGCACTTGCAGCTGCGTGGAGTGGTCGGCGGATTCCAGGCGGTTGTGCGCGCGGCACGTGTACACGCCGGCGTCCGGCTTTACAAAGTAATCGTACCAGCACTTGCAGCTGCGTGGAGTGGTCGGCGGAGTCCAGGCGGTTGTGCGCGCGGCACGTGTACACGCCGGCGTCCGGCTTTACAAAGTAATCGTACCAGCACTTGCAGCTGCGTGGAGTGGTCGGCGGAGTCCAGGCGGTTGTGCGCGCGGCACGTGTACACGCCGGCGTCCGGCTTTACAAAGTAATCGTACCAGCACTTGCAGCTGCGTGGAGTGGTCGGCGGAGTCCAGGCGGTTGTGCGCGCGGCACGTGTACACGCCGGCGTCCGGCTTTACAAAGTAATCGTACCAGCACTTGCAGCTGCGTGGAGTGGTCGGCGGAGTCCAGGCGGTTGTGCGCGCGGCACGTGTACACGCCAGCGTCCGGCTTTACAAAGTAATCGTACCAGCACTTGCAGCTGCGTGGAGTGGTCGGCGGAGTCCAGGCGGTTGTGCGCGCGGCACGTGTACACGCCGGCGTCCGGCTTTACAAAGTAATCGTACCAGCACTTGCAGCTGCGTGGAGTGGTCGGCGGAGTCCAGGCGGTTGTGCGCGCGGCACGTGTACACGCCGGCGTCCGGCATTACAAAGTAATCGTACCAGCACTTGCAGCTGCGTGGAGTGGTCGGCGGAGTCCAGGCGGTTGTGCGCGCGGCACGTGTACACGCCGGCGTCCGGCTTTACAAAGTAATCGTACCAGCACTTGCAGCTGCGTGGAGTGGTCGGCGGAGTCCAGGCGGTTGTGCGCGCGGCACGTGTACACGCCGGCGTCCGGCATTACAAAGTAATCGTACCAGCACTTGCAGCTGCGTGGAGTGGTCGGCGGAGTCCAGGCGGTTGTGCGCGCGGCACGTGTACACGCCGGCGTCCGGCATTACAAAGTAATCGTACCAGCACTTGCAGCTGCGTGGAGTGGTCGGCGGAGTCCAGGCGGTTGTGCGCGCGGCAGGTGTACACGCCGGCGTCCAGCGCGCGTGCCCACTGCACGCGCAGCGACCCGGACCCCACCATGTAGAACCGCGAGTCCAGGTCACTGCAACAATACAAACACCATCATATAACACTGACAACCAAACATTTTACTACTCGAAGGACTCAAGCACTTAGTAAAATGTGCAGTAAGTTACGCTTAATTCCCCGCAACTCTCTTAGTCAACTCTTTCTCGTTGGTGTAGTGGTCTTAAATACGAGTCCCGGGTCGGTCCTAAATCAGTTATTGCGTTTTCTGTCAAGAAATTCTTAGTAGCAGCCCGGAGTCAGTTAGTTGGCGATGTTTAGCGAAGTTGCCACGTAAAGCCGTTAATCCTGCGCCTGATCTCTCTCTGGTCAGGTCGGTTTGCCGTTCCATTGGATTGGACTATGAGAGTGAGGGAATAGAAAGTGTATCTGTATTTGCGCATACACTCGGGTACTATAATTCTGTCTGAAACTGGCTGCCAGTCAACTGCGAGCGGGCGAGAAGACTAGTTCTTTTTTTTATAAGGGAGGGGCAAACGAGCATGCGGCTCACCTAATGGTCAGTGACTACCGCCACCCATGAACAACTGCAACACCAGGGGAATCGCAGATGCGTTGCCGGCCTTTTAAGATGATATGGATGGTATCGCGAGTAGTTCTTTGTTTTGTAAACTGCGAACGTTGTTTTCGACAATCTAACACTGCGTATTTTGTTTAGTTGGACTAAGAAAAAGCTGTCATTATTTATGTGCGCACTATGTCAACGTAATTTGAAGTTTATTTTAATAAGTACTGTTACGGCTCTCAGTTGCCCAGACAGAAGTCGACTGTATTAGGGCCCATCAGTAATACACTCGACGAGCAACCAGAGAGTTCGGACCCAATGGCCTATGGATAATTGACCTACACGATCGAGATAAGGCTAGGAAAATTAATACGACTTACCTGGTTCAGAAGCGGAGACTGGTCACAAGGCTCGGTCAGGCGATAGGTGTAGTGCATGTAAGTGGTGTTTGTTAGTGTGTAAAAATGTGGGGCCTGACTTAACCCTTTTAATCGGCAGCAACCCTGACTCCGTCACCGCCTCACGGTGTGTTATTCTCCAGCGGCGTCACCAATGGACAATTTCTTTCTTCAATTCACTATGTCAGTCTATCAACTTTATTGTACATTTAACTAACTACAAAACTCAACTAAATCCCGTTAATTATAATCAAAAACGTAACACGCGGCACGACTGATGAACGGTGGGTCAAAGTTCACTTCCGTTCACTTATATACACAATCAAATTAGAATAACCAAATTCGCGGCGGTCTACACGAAAACCAAATATTCAATAGTAAATTAGGCGCACACAACACACAAATTCAGACGTTGATCGCAATCAATGTTAACTTCCTAAACAATTAATTGATCCGCGCCGTCAATCTATTTTTCTAAACTCCTCAAAAATCCTCGTCGGTGCATAAAAACTTGCTAGCAAAACCCGACAAGATATAGAGGTTATACCTGGGGAGAACACGCCGTGCTAGTAACTGCACTGCATTCAATCACTTTCGGCCCGCCGCACAATCAACCAATTCGATTTCGCGCGAACGTCAAACGGTAGGAAATCACTGCTCTGCCTATGTCGATTCTTGAAATTAGCGGTTGGCGCGAACAAACCCCCGTCCCGGATATAAGGACTAATGTCCACGAGCAAACCGGCAAGCGGGACAGGGTCGCGACGGCACGTTGCAAGACCGAATCTACAACCAAAACCTAGGCTACATTAGGCACCCCATCAGATCTTGCAACCTTAACCACCGCATCAAAATTACCGCCCCAATGTGGGCAAGCCGGAGGGTCGAACCTCCACTGGATGCCCTTACTGGACATCGCAGCACCTAAATAAGTCCTGTTACTGGAAAGAAGTCCGATGACCTCTTTCAAACACCTATGATTCGTTCCGCAATCCGACCGGATCAGGTCTGCAAACAGCGACGCGATACGAAGCGGCCCAGCATGGCCACCTAAGCTTCAGTGCAGAGGGCACCTACAAGTTCCACATGAACGGCGTCTGTGGAGAGGCAAACGAAACGCACAGATAGTCCTTAGTATGATTTTTCAAGCAAGTAGACATAACCAAGCCATCTACCATATAATACTTACTTACTTATCTTCACGCACAACCCCTGACGGGGTAGCCAGAGAGAACAGATCGCCAAGTGTCACGATCCTTACATACCTCTTTCGCTTCTTTCAGA